ATTATTATTATTATTATTATTATTATTATTATTATTTTCGTAAGCACAGCTAACAGCAGAGCTTCTCCTCCAGAGAGGCTGTGAGATGAAATGTGAAAACCATTTTTAACTAACGCTAACGTTAAATACGGTTTAACTTTAATGTTCCGCCTGTTTTATTGGCTCATGGCACCAAATTTATTCAAAAAGAAATATATCAGAAGATAGAAGCTCTGTAATGATGTATTTGACATATATTCATCAACTTAAACCTCAAAGTAATATATTCACTGTAGGATTTCACAGCATTTCCCATTTCCTACTATTTCTGTTGTTGGCCGTTACAAAATGAATGTGCACTGGCTATCCTCTGGAGTTTGACATTAGGCCTCCAGGGTGTACTCTCAGATGTTTTCACCTGGCTGCATTGATTCAGCAGAATTATTCAGTTCAACAGCAGAGTGGTAAATGAGGAAACTGCTGCCTCAAAAATAAAAAGGAAAGGAGGGCTATGAAATGAGGTTATAGTCACTGATTTTCATAATTAGAAAACTGTCATAGCTCTGGTAGATATCGGCAGTTTGAGACATTATTTCCAAGATATACCACAGTGGCACAGTACAGGAAACAATATCTTTTCCCTTATTTTGTACAGCCACCTGAGCTGATTGTAGCTCAGTGAAAAAAGAAAATAGTGAGAACAAGCAGCCTTTTTTATTTATTTATTTGAAAAATATAATCTACAGTTATTTTTCAGCAGAATAAAAATTAATAATGGTTTTCTGTATAATGGGACAGAGATAGACTAGAGCTGGAGGGTTAGTACATTAAATCATTTTTTGGTGCTTTCATAAATCTTAAGCATAATTGATATGCAAACTCACAGGATCCAAGACTTAAATGGTGAGAAGTCTGTGTGTACATGTCCAGGTATGTGTGTGTTCCTCTCCAAAGCCCTTGGGCCTGACCCTGCATGACCGAGCAGACACTTGTGCTATTTTAATGGAATAGGGATGACAGTTAGACTGAGATAAAACACTACATGGCTGCCTAATCCTAAGCTACAAACAAATATGAACTGTACAAAATCTCAGATAATCAGTGATTTAAATCAGTGGTATAAGTATTCAATATTTACATCGGCCTTCCTTTAACCTCCACTTCATTTAAATCAAACTGGTAGCAAATCTGTGAGGTTTTGAAACAAATATGTTGCTGAATATCCTCATCATCATCATCAACTTTATTTATAAAGCACTTTAAAACAACCACAGCTGACACAAAGTGCTGTACATTGGAACTGTAAAATAAAATTACATAAGATATAAGTAAAAACCAAATAAAAGAAGAGTGAACTCATTAAATAACTACTTCAATTAAAAGAGAAACTAAGTCTCGCTGAGGTTAAAAGCCAAGGTTTTAAGACGTGATTTAGAAGTGGATATTTGCAAGGATAGAAATCAATACAGTGACTGATGACGTTTGATTGAATTGTTTGAGTCGGATATTCCTGGAAGGGCTGATTAAGCTGAGAGCCCACTCTCAGGCACACATTATTGCTCTGAACAAGGCACTAACACTTTGACCTTTGGGATAGGGCAGATTTCCCACTTGTTGTTTTCTTGTGATTGTAGACAATGCATTTGTTTGCTCATTAACTAAAAAATAAATTGCATAATGGTAAATGTTGTGTTGCAGACAAGTAATATCATCAAAACAAAGGTCAGTGAAAACGATGCAGTTGGTAAGGGCTGGCATGTTTATTTTCTTCGATTATTTCCTTCATTCTGCTCTTTGCAGATCTTTGCATCTATTGCAATACATTTATTTTACATTGTTTCCTTTTGTTTTTACCTTAGTTCTACCTATTGATATTATGT